TAAGAAACAGGATCATTGCGCTTGGCGAAGCCGATATCGAGACTAAAACCCCAGGTACGCTTTCGGTCGGCGATTGGGATATGCGGTGCTGGATTGTCGGTGGTGAGCCAACAGAGTACTGGCTTGACGACCGAATTTCTGAGTTTGTACTGAAAATTTTAACGGATGATCCTGTATGGACAAAAACTACCAGCTTAAGCTTTTCTCCACTGTCTCCTGAAGACCAGAAAAAAATATCTGGCCTCGATTATCCACACGATTTTTCCTACGATTATGTGTCAGACATCCTCACACAAGTCGTGTTCAATGGTAGCCCTGGAAAAGCGGACTTTTTATGGCGTGCCCACGGACCGATCGTGAATCCTGAAATTAAAGTTGGTGACAACCTCTACAAAGTATATGTGACCATCCCCGACAGAGCGTATCTCGAAATCGATTCACGCGAAAAAACAATCATCCTGGTAGACGCTGATGTTCGTAAAAACTTTTATGCTTACCGGGAAAAGGGTGCGCCTGGATCCGGAACTTACATTTTTGAAAAACTCCCCACCGGGAAAACGTCCGTGACATGGAACCGGAAATTTGGCTTTGACCTGGTGGTTTATGAGACTAGATCGACACCACCATACGAAGAGTAAGGAAGCACATGGACATCTCGTACACATCCGCTGATCACACTGACATAGGCGTACTAAAAGGCGCGCATCTTGACCTAGAGTACGGCACTAGCTCGAAAAAAAACGATTTTGAGCTGACTCTCGACGCCGATTCTGGGCGAAAACTCGACGTTGGGGCTTTCGTATACGTCGAGGGTACCGAGTACGGTGGCATCATCGATGCCAAAAGGTCAAATACTAGGGAAAAGATAATCGTATACAGTGGCAGGTCCTGGCACGGCATGCTTCACGACAAAGTGCTTTGTCCCGATACTGGGCGCACACATCTGGAGCTAGAGGGTACTACGAAAAGTATGCTCGATCAACTGGTCGGCCGTATGAGTCTGCGAGACCTCTTCTACGTATCTGATCAGGCCGATACCAGTATGCGAAAGTATGCTTTTCCCCGCTACTGCGACGGGTATACAGGTGTCTGCAAGCTGCTGGAAAAAGCTGGGTTAACGCTGTCTCTGGCTTTTCATGCGAGTCATAGCAAGGTGGCCATAAGCACGGCTCCTGTCACTAGCTGGGGCGATAAGCCGCATGAAGATTGGCTCGATCTGAAAATCTCTTGCGTGTACCGGCCATACAACCATCTGGTCTGCCTGGGTAAGGGGACAGGAGTCAACCGAGCAATTTTACATTATTTCGCTGATAAGTATGGCAATATCTCGGAGAAGCAGACACTTTTCGGACTAGATGAGCGCACGATCACGTACGACTACTCCAACGCCGAGGTCGAAGAGCTGAAAAAGGAGGGTCCAAAAAAGCTTGCAGAGTATCAGAGGGAAAACTCTCTCGAGGTCGCACTTGAAAAGAGTGACACGAACTTTGCCATCGGCGACGTCATCACCGGCAGTGACCCCGCTACCGGCACCTCAGTCACCGCCACCGTCACATCAAAGATCGTCG